TACCTGCGTACGCTTGGGTGCCGCGCATGGACGCTTTAAAAGAATTTGCAACTTTTTGGCTTGCAAACGGTCTCGAGGACCAAAAAGGATAGAGAACTGAAACTTTGCAGGGATATCCTCTACGTATGCATAAGCTAAAGATTTCAAATTCAGCCCCTAGGTGTGTGTGGTTATCACGCACGGGTACGTGAAATTTTTATCGGGAAAATTGCTAACTTGGCAACCTGAAAAGTTGGAACACTGAAGTTTTAAGAGTATATTCCCGTCCCACGACTTACCAGTGCAATTACTTCTATTTAGTTCTAGATTCTATGTTCTGTTTTTGGAGATTAACAAACATTTTCAAGTATGTCTACAAGATACAGTGGAGGACAGCTGAGAGTTGGAGGATTGCATGTGCAGCGGGTAAACTTTGATTCAGTCATCCACTGTTTCTTTTCTGAAGAACCAAGGAAAAAAGCTAAAAATCAAATGCTAAAGCCATCGGTGAACATCGGTACTGTGATTCAGTAGGTGCGTCGATGGTGTGAATATTAAACGCAGCTGGTCTGCCCATCAAAATAAATTGTTTCCATGTGTGAATGTGGACCATTTGTATGGCATCTAAAGAGATGACGCACACATATCAAACAGGCTGCAGTCATTGGAGATGTGCAACTCGAGGTCGAAAGTTCTGCCGCGCACGTTGTAATAGAGCATCTCAGTAACATCACTAACATGGGATTCCCATATCGATTGCCTGGACGGTCTTGTTATTCTATCTGTAGTGTAGAAAATTTGCAAAAAAATGAACCTTTGTTTTTCAGCATCGATTTTATTTGCGATTGACAGAGCAGCCGTTCACACGATTACCGTTGGATATTATACTGCAGACGGTTGTGAGCTTAATTGCGCTTGTTTACAGTGCTACTTATATTGCTGGCGAATTTCAGCCAATACGCTCAGATATACAGGTTTACTTCGGAAATTGCATTAAAAATTGTAATTTTTGCGATTTTTGTAATGTTGATTGCTCATTTAGTGCCCTATGCTTTGTTCTCATTTCCTTTAGAAATTTGATAATTCATTTTTACGTTGTTTGTGAACTTTCTGCTTCTTCCTCCTTTTGATGCCAGCATCTTTTCTCCTCTCCTTCCCCGTTACTTTTTTCCTTCCTTGTTTCCTTTTATCTTTGCTTCTCCTGTAGACACTGCAACCTGCATACTGACGAGATCCTGTTGCGATCTTGAGTCAAGACGTATATGACTTAATGAACCGAAACGTCTCATTAAGGATTGAAGAGAAAATATCAAGAAAGGAAGAAAACAAAGAAAAGGAGGAAAAGGGTAGTAAGATAGGGAAGGTGTCTGACGAAATATATGTAACAGATAAGAAATGTTTTGGTTCATTAAGTCGTACACATTTCTTACCGTTATCACAATTGGACCTCGTCAATGCGACGATTGTGGTAACAAAATAAATTAATTGAGATAAAAGAGATGAAAAACAGAAAAAATGAAAGAAGTGGAAGAAATGAAAGACCGTAAGCAAATAGAAGAAATAGGAAAGTTGTAAAATTGTACAGTTATAAATTCTAAATTCTTACCTGTTCATTGCTTGTTCTTATCTCATCTTACCTCCTGATCTTATTTTTGTTTGCACTCCTCCAGTTTTTTACCAATTGAGCATGCAGATCTGACCTGGTCACTGACTGAAATCTTATTTCTAGTTTACAAATGTAAACTGCAAAAGTTCCAGAGAATTAGTTCTGAAGTGACGGGGTGACGGTACGAATTACCTGACATCCGAAATAGCACAGGACAAATAAAAGAATAAAAAAGTAAAGAGGTTCCCGAAAGCATCTTTCACCTGACAAAAAAGCGTAAGCATGGATCTGTATGCCCATCCGTCTCGGGTGCTAAATACTAAATAAAGACTCGCAGTTCTAAAAAAGACAAGAAGGCAGGAAACAGCTAAAACTGTTGTCTGGGGAGGAAAAGTAGATGGGGGGAGTAGCCTAATCGACGATGTCACCAGTTCCATTTTGTGCATTTTTAGACAGCGAATTTGGCTTGGTTTAGATCGTTTTTTCTTTTCTACGAAAAGGGGTAGTGGTGGTGTTGAATTACAGTATTTTATCAAAAAAATCATCAAATCCTGACACTGATCCCGATTATGATTTCAATTTTTAAACAAAATTGCAAGTTTTTTTTTTGGGGAAAATCGCATCTTTTTTGTTTTGAAGATTGCGATTTCTGGCCCTCTTATTTACCACTGTTGCTTGTATTTTCAAGACAGAATGGCGATGTTTTTAGAATCGCACAAAATCATGGGATACGGTTGGAAATTGCCCGTCTTTTTATACTTTCACTCATCGTGCGAAAACCTTGTCACCGTCTTACAGTGCGGCTGGTCACCACTTCGGCGATTCTGCCTGGGTTAGCTTTTATATTTTACTATCTGAATTGAAGTAATGTGTAGCGAAGTGTGTTACGTAAAAAAACGTGGAAAATGAGAACGCATCTGTGTAATTTATCTCAAAAATGCGCCTTATTCTCATTGTAGACAAAAATTTCCGTATTCGAAAGGAGTTGCGACAAATTTGTCAAATCTTTTCGCAGTCTGCAGAATTTCCTGAGATCTTCTGTACAGCATGCCACCATAACGAAACCTCCGCAGTGTGCTTCTGTAATAATTTTTTTCTTCACAGAACCTTTTGTTTTTGCAGGATCGTTCTTTTCTACAAGATGGCGCAATTCCCTGTGGCAGCGACACAGACAATTTATCATGACCGAATTTCCACAAATTCTTTTGTTCACTTCTCGTGAGGTATGTGCACCGTAATAAGAGATGATTTCGCATCAGAATATGGGTTGCCTGATAATTGGTCGCTGCTTCAGGTTGGCGGGCTCGCATCATATCAGCATAGACAAGCTGCATTCTCGAAGCAAAGAGTTGTTGAGCAGAGAGTCTCATCGGCGCCATCGAACTCAGTTCGTCAGAGCGCATTGCCTCCAAAATCCACTCGTCTCAAAGCCCCAACTAAGAAGGTGCGCTTTACCGTTTCCTTATTCTCACGTATTCCCGTCATTCATTCTTGCATTAACTCCCTTTTTTTTGCAAAAAAATACATATTCAGATATAAACACTGACCCGCTTCCCCCACTTCTAGATGAGTTAATTTTAACTCACCTTGTCTTGAATTTCCGTAATTTGAATCCCGAATTTTTTTTGCGAGTGCCAAAAATTTTTCGCTTTGTTTTCTGAATTCTTACCATCTCCGGTCTCGAGGGCTTAGACGTCAGCATAGTAAAATTTTTTGTTTTATGTTTTTTTTTTGTTAGTTTCTTAGATATCAAGAATACGAAGAGCTGATCTACTGGTGTGTTTTTTGGTTCCTTACTAGTATTGTTGCTGGATTATGTCTACATGCTGGACGTATTTACGCTAGACCATTCAACCCTGAGCTGCACACATCCATTTAGCACCTACGGCCTTTTCGGCTTATGTATCTTCGAAGGCCCGGATGCTCGTTTCGTTCATTTTCTTGTGGGTATCACTCTCTAACCGGTGTCAGCAAGACGAGCACTTACCATGCCCATCGCATTTTGCTGTTCCTGTCTGCTTACATAGATTGCACATTGTCCATCTAACGAGGCAATATGATTGCTTATTTGGTCGCGAAGAAGAGACATTCCGCGCACCCATTGCTCCACTATCCTTCATCAAAACCAGCATTCCCATCCCACGTCATTGACTGCCTTATCGTTCAAATTATTTTCAGGCAACAAATGAGGCACTTCACC